GTAGTTTCATGTTATTTACTATTTATTTACTTCATCAACATGACAAGTGTTTTTGTTTCCAGAACATGCCTGTACAGAGTTTCGCTGTAACTTAAGAGAATTCTGTATATCGACGGATTTGGTTTGCGACAAGATTAACCATTGTGCTGACGGGTCAGATGAATCGTCCAATAACTTATGCCAAAGTAAGTATATGTAACTTAATGGCAGGATGTAGCATATTCCGATTCTTGTTCTAGTAAGCTTATTCTAGATAATTATTATTAAGCTACAATGCAATTGAATTAAACTTGTGATATATTTGCTAATGGAAATGTATCTCGCATATCTTGCTATTTTCGATTTATTGCAGCAATGGTTGATGTAAATCGACTTAATATCATATTTTTTTATAATACCAACACTGTCAAGGAGCAAGGTTGACTTGCATTCCAATATATTTATTTGTGCAATTACACACATGGACACGGTGAAATATATTTTTTTAATCTGCAACATTTGGTAGCGGAAATATTTCTATTATTGTCTCCACTGGCCCTGAATAGTTATAAAAATACAAAGCTCAGTTTTCATGGTCTGATTCATCTTTCTTCAAATATTTCTTATAAGGTGATTAAAATATATTCTAAGTTATTTAAGATCCAACATTCTCATCGACTACACTTATAAAGCACCTCTAACGGTATCTATAATACCAGAAGAACAGAAGAGGTATATTTGACTGTCCATATTCAAATAAGAAGGGATGTGAAATTGACTGGGAAAACTTATCAGCAGAATATGTTCGAAAAGTACTGGAAAATACGAGAGAGGGTTCCTGAGATCAATGGAGCTCTCATAAATAATGTACGATTTGCTGACGACGAGGTGGTGCTGATAACATGATAAATCTGATCGTTGAGCACAGCGAACAATATGGTTTTCAGACAAATGTAGCAAAGTCTAAAATTGTTGTATTCCCAAAAACACCGAGGCGCGTAGTCCTTAGAATTAAGAACGAACCCGTGGACCAGGAATTATCCTTCAAATATCTGCGAGCTCTCGTCAACGAGTCCAAGGATCTTTAAAAAATGGTGTCTAGTCTAAGACTAAATCGAACGGGCCAGGAAAATCTTTACATCCATGAAACTTTCCTCAGAAATCGAGACTTAAGCCTGCAAATCCGTATTTTGCATACTGCGCTGCTAGATATTTCCTGTCCTCTATAGTTCTGAGAACTGGACTTTCCACCAATCAATGCTTTTGAGATGTACCTGTACCGTCGAATGCTGCGTGTGTCCTGGGTAGATCTGGTAACTAATGAGGAGATACTCCCGGGTAAACTTTTCGAGAAGAGTGGAGAGTAGAATGGAGCGAGTTATCAGCAAAAATATGAAAAAAATCTTTGGTACAGATCGGAGCATCCTGAAAGATAACGATATATTTAAGAAAACAAAATGCCGTAGAGGAATCCGTGAAGAAATGAAAGAATAACGTTTGTGTAGCAACAGAGAAGAGCAAAGCTTGGAGGAAGGCATTGAAAGTATTATTATTACTGAAATAATAAAGGCGTATCTTCATTAAAGGGGCATACCGAGTTATAAAGATAAATATTTTCCAAAGTTGCAGAGCAAAGCTTAACCACACTCTTGAGGATTGTTTCTGTGTGATAATGTGTTGTGATATCGTAAACTTTTACTAATAAATATCTCTTCTGGCATCACACAGAGCAAAGCAAAGCAAAAATAATCTTGGAAACGATCTTCTACAAGTGAGATGAGACAGAGTATTTTTCTTTGCTTCAGTTTTTTAAGGTCCCTGTTTAATACATATACCTGTTTATACCATTTATAGAATCAAGTTTCTGCATCAGATAATAGGAGTACTTCCAATAGCTGTTGAATCAGGCGCCAGTTCTCACATCGGTCGAGCTATAAAGGATTTTACTTTTACTTTTTTAAAGAAGTTTAGCAGCAGCCAAATTACCTCTTCAAGTTATTCTTCATTACAATTATTTATTTTTAAGTGGTCCAGCCTTTACAAATTGATTTGTAGGCCGAGATAATTTCCCGCTAAGTCTAAATTACTATAAAAAAATAATTCATTAATTGATAAATAATAATAAATAATAATTAAAAATATTGGTTAGTCATTGTTTAACATTAAAGTCTAAGCAGTGTTTCTAATAGTCCGAAACTTTTTTTCAGACAACGATAGTGGTACCATCCTAGGCCTCGAAGTAACTTGGTTTGTGGTGGTCCTAATTAGTTCCCTTCTAGTACTACTCGTGCTTATCGTAGCTATTTCGATTTGTGTATGTAGACGAGGAAGCTGGAACAACAGCCATGGAAATTCTGTACAGCAACAAAATGCATCTTATTCTTGTAAGTATCGAGAGCTATTTTTTACATTGAATTTACAATTTAAATGGAATTTCTATATACAGGTTGATTTTTACGTAAAATTTTTCCGGTAAACTTTACGAGTATATAAAGCTCATAAAGATAAACGTTATTTTTATTAACCAACTTTCCGAAATTTGAAAATTATGCCAGTTGTAAAAATTATAGATTATGAAAGACAACTTCATTGCACAACAAAAAATAGTGCATGTTTATGAAAGTAACAAAAATTTTCGTCAAAAGTAAAGAAAGTTTCGTCAATACTCTTGTTTCCGCAAGTCCATCTTTCCGGCCCATTTGTACTCAATCGTGAGTCTAGATCGAAAGAATCTGGTGACTTACGCAAACATCCCGGAGGAAATGCAATTAGACCAACCGAGAATATTCAAAAAGACGGAGGAAATGTTGAAAAAACGTCTTATCTTAGAATATCTAACAAGAAGTACCGGTAATTTGGGGTGAAGTAGGGCTGTGGGGGCGAACTCGGACAGATCATTCATTGTTGACTCGTTATTGCCGTTTTTGGTCTCAAATAATTACGTTTTTGTCCCAAGCTACAAAAAAGCTGTCAAGCTGAAAAGCTCGAGAGTAATTTACCGGAACCAAACCAGGATTATTCTTCTTCGTACTCAGTACATGGCTGTCCACGTGTGGACGTAGGCCTCTCCAGAATTTATCATGACTCTCGATCTTGAGCTATCTGCTGCCAATTCCTTCCGGCTATCTTTCTTATATCGTCTATCACCCAACATTTCTGTAATCTGCCTAATACTCGTTTTGTTATTCTTGGTTCTTATTCTCCATCGGGAGCAATCTTGCCTTGCGACATGGTTTACCTAAGGCTATTTAAGATTGAAGATGTGTTTGGCGGTGATATGTTTGTCACCAGCAAGACCTACATATCAAAAACGTTTCGCTTCAGGCCATTAGGAACCTCCCTAGATTTCAGTCCATGGCCCAGTTTAACTTCTTCTGATTCTTCTGGAAGTTTCAGTTCTTTGATTCTCCTTGCCCGGTTTCATAATATGACCGAGGTTCACACACTCTTACTTTCACTTGTTCAAGTGCGATCATACAAGGTGATTCAAAATTTGCGTCATTCCTCTGGAGGTGTTGTCTGGGCATGTTTTGTGAATACATGCAAAACAGTTTAAATACATCATTCTCTGTCGTCTCAATTACAATATAGCAGAGTTAATAGATATTTCATAGAACGAATTTACTAATTTTAATTGAAGATGATTCTGCTATGTTAATTTTTGGTTCCAGTAGCGCACATGTACGGGTCGAATGGCCACATGGCAATAAAGCCAGGAGTCGGCAGCACCACAACGCTGACCGATGGAGGCTTACTCCATGCGACGCCGACTTCGGGAAACTCGCGCCGCCCTGCGGGCCCGCCCGGGTTCCGCATGCCGCCGGCCCGGGGCCGCCCCTACTGCCCGGCAGGGTAACCGCGACGCCCGTGGTCGCCCCTCAGAATGGTGGGAGCGACGCGCCGTCTGCGCAGCAGAAAGACGAGTGGTTCGTCTAGCAGTAGGTATGTAACG